AAACTTCTGGGCAGAGAGCTCAGCTGTGCACCCGGCAGGCTAGAGACTTGCGTTTCCTGAATGGGGCTGAAAATGCCTGGTTAGAGGGGGAAAATAATATCACTACCGTTTACTTCCCTAAATTAAAAATGAATACGGCTCTTTGCGGGATACAGTTCAGTGGGGGAAAATCTCATGGGCCTCTTCATGAGATGAGCAGAGTGAACAGCCTCGATAGAGAAAGAAAGAACAGGACAAATGACATTGGGACGGAGCCTGCCTGCTCTCCACTCCTGCCGCTGTTGCAAGAAGCTGCCTGCTTCTGTCAAAATAATCAACATCTTGCTTTTCAAAGGTTGGGTTTGCCCCCCGCTATTATTGCCCTGTTACTGCAATTCCCTTTCTGAGAAGGGTCGTTAGAGAAGTGCTGCTTTGGAGCCCGTTCCTGCGAAGCCCCGCGGGCAGGCGAGAAGCGGGTGGCATTGGCAGTCGTGGCCCTGGTGCCGGTGTCCCCGGCGCTACGGTGTCCCCGGCGCTACGGCAGCCTGTGCAGGGGGAGGCGGCCGCTGCTGGAAGGAGAGCAGTGGTGTTTGCTGCTGTATGAGGAGAAACCTCAATATTTTTATGGTTGCGTTGAAAGAAGGAAGTTAAATATGACCAGTGTTTTGATACTGGTTGAGAGATAAGAGCAGAGGAGTGAAATTCGGAGCTCCTGGATTCTGTTTGTGGCTGTGGTGTGAGTGTGGCTGAGGGAGGAGGAAGGGTTTCGGACTTGACCATTGATTTGGGCTCTGCCATTGATTCTTCTCGTGTCTCTGGACCACTTAAGGTGGAATTGCCGGAAGTGGCTGTGGATCCTGCACTATTAGGTCCAGATATGCTGGAACTGCTCATTTTTTCCAGAGGTCCCCAGTCCCCGCAGATCAGAAAATGGCAGCTTTGCTGTAGAGCTGGCTGGAGACATCCCTAATGGGGAACATTAAAAAAGGGGCCAAATAAAGCAATTTTGGTCTTAACGTATATGTAGCTAGAAAGAGGGCACAAAAAAGTTCTGCAGCTTTCCGTAGGAAGATGAAGTCTTAAGGCATTGGTCAGACTTGCTGCTGTAGTCCCACCGAAGTCAGAGGCATGACGCCTGTAGCTAACTTTCTCCTTAGCACCGAGGTGCCTTCAAAGCCCTGCAGACAAGTGTGAAACACCAGCACGACCAGAAGCTTTGAAGCTGCGGTGCAGGCAGGATCTGGGGAGTCCTGTGCTGATTAAAACTTCCTTTTATTTTTTTTTATTTTTGTAATTGGGTTTTGTCAGGTGTGCGAGGAGCAGAAGTGTGAAGAAGAGGTCTTCCCCTTGGCCATGAATTACGTGGATCGCTACCTGTCGTCAGTCCCCATGCGGAAAAATCACTTGCAGCTTCTGGGAGCGGTCTGCATGCTCCTGGCTTCAAAGCTGCGAGAAACCATGCCCCTGACCGTGGAGAAACTCTGCATTTACACAGACAACTCCATCACGCCTCAGCAGCTCCTGGTAACCACCCCTATCTCAAAGAGCCCTCTACCTCCTCCCCAGCTCTCTTATCTCCTGCATCCTGCTACTTGGCAGCATACCTGCCTCCGTGTCTCTTCCTGTTCTCTTTCTCCCATTTCTTCACCTTCCTCCGCATTCCCCAACCAACCTTCTCTCCTCCTTGCCCCGGTGGGTGTGATGTCTGTTGGTGGAGACCTTTCCATCCTCCCTGTTGTGGGAAGCAGAATTGTCACCTCCAGGTTACAGAGGAAGTTCCTTGTGCCTTAAGTGCTCGTTGCCAGCGCGGAGCTGCCACGCTGAGCTCGATCCCAGGCGCTGGTTCGCTCTCGAGTGACAGCTCTGGAGAACAAAGGCTCCTGTCTGCGCAGCCGGCGGGGCACGAGGCGGGGGCTGCCGCTGGGGCGTGTGGCTCTGACTTGCCCCGGCTGCAGAGGGCCATGACGTGGGAGATGCATTTCCACACCAGGAGGGAAAATGAAGCTTTAAGTGGAGAGTGAACAAGCAAAACGGGTGGGAGCTTTTCTGACCTGGGATCCAGCTGGCTGGGTTGTACTGTCAAGGCTGACAGTGCTGCCAGGGTGATGGAGATGAGTGGAACCTTGCTGCTGGCCAGGTCCTGCTCCGCACCCTTGAGTTAAAGCAGGGCTACTTTGCCTCTCCCATCATATGCTCAGGCAGAAGCTGTGTAGGCTTTGAAAGGCAAAGCATTTTCATGTCTGATAAAAGTTCAAAGCAAAGATCCAAACCTCTGAGTTCAGCTTCACTAATGGGGGAGGAAATTGGAGAACCCCTTTTCTTGGGGGCCTTCCGTGCCGGTAGATCAGAGCCCTCGGGAGGAAACTGTCACCTCGCTTCGAGTAACAAACATCCCTGGAGACGGTTTGCCTACGAGAATTTCTCAGGGTTAGTCATCGCCTTATTAAATACCTATTTTTTTGGGCTGGGGTGGGTGAGATGATCTGAGTGTGATTTATCCCCAGGGTGGGGAGTGAACCCACAAAACTTTCAGGTGTGAATCGGAAGGCAGTTCTGGTAACTGGGGAACTCTAGTATGAACATGGTTTTTCCAAGTGCCAGTGAAGACTGGGGAAAATCCCCTCACCTCCTTACCTCTCTCCCGGTAGTCATTTGTAGGTGGTTGTTGCCTTAAGTAGCACTCATGGAAAAAAGTATGTGGATCGTAACCGTGAGCAGTGGTGAGGGATGGGAATGCACAGAGGAAACACAAGTGCTTGCTCCTTCTCTGGATGCTGAGCTGCGGTCGTGCTGCGGTATCCTGCTGACCCAAAATCTGTGTGCGAAGGCTTTCTCCTGCTTTGTCAGTAAAGCTTCATCCTTGAGAGCACCTCCTTATCCAGCGATGGATTCTGCGTGGGTATCTTCCCAGGATGAGGATCCATCACATGAAGCTAATCCCAGCCTGTAACAGGAGGGTTCCTGTTGGCCCTGTGATAACGAGGGGGTTAACATTTAGCTGGAAAAAAAAGGCAGGGGGAACGGGAGTTGGTTTGCATTCACTTTTCTCCTGGGCCAGCAAAAGTCTCTGTTTGTTGCAGAGGCAACAAGCTGAGCAGAAAGTGCCTGACAGCCTTCTTGTAGGCAAGCAGGCTGCGTTTCGAAGCATGGACAGTGCTCTCCATGCCCTCAGGAGCATGAAGCTGATCAAAACCCAAACCATTCTATGATTCTGTGAAAATGCACGTTGCGGGCAACTGTCAGATTTCTGTCCCTTTAGAGTGGTGGATAAGCTCTCTGCCCAACAGGAATATAGGTTGCAGGAAGGTGAACTTACTGCCATGCTTCACCTCTATCTCCCTCTCTGATCCAGGCTTTACAGAGTCCTGGCATCATCCCTGCAGACTAGGGGAGATTGTCGCAGCAAATTCTAGCAATTCCTGCAGCATGGACCTTCAGCTACAAGGAATTGGTCTTGGTGGGCACTTTGTGCATCTCTCCCACAGATCCCAGTTGTATTTCATTCTGATTTATTTGGTGGTTTATTCTTGGTGAGGATTTGCTTTCTTCAGTTGAATCTTGAGCTGTGTTTGCAGCAGGCTTCTTCCAAAGGAGAACAGTTAGGAGATGTGCAGGTGGGGAGTGGGCAGAGCGTGTGCAACATCCCCGGAGGCTTTCCTTCACTCTTGCACTCAAATGCTAATGCCTCCTCACTCAGAGTCTTTTTTAT